AGCACACATATTCCTCCAGAACTGTAACTTTTTAAACTATTCAATGTACTATTATAATAAAGTTCTAATCCTCCTTCTACTCCTTCTATGCCAACAAATATATTAAAACACTCCATTTAAGGAAAAATAAATCTGTCCCATCAGCCCCTGGATCTCCCTCTTTGTTAAGGCCATCATTCAGTTTCTCAGTAATTCATTAGCTTTCCAAATCATCTTGCCTTCATGCTAAGAAATGTCAACAACCACACAATTATGCAATTTCCTGCCTCTAAGGCCACATTTAAGGACCCCCTCTTCCACTCTACCTTTGTCATTCGCTTCCTGTGTTTATGTTATTACTTAAACTGCTCAACTGCAAAATTACTAATCCAGCCACCCCACTCCAACCACAACATTCTAAGAAACTATTTAACCACTCTTTAATTCAATGATATGTGCATCTCCAATCCACTGACCTGGCCCCATGATCCATCAGCCCCATTCTGTTGTCCAGAATTTTTTTTTGGGGGGGGGGGGTTTGAGACAGGGTCTCCCTATAGCCCCAGCTGTCCTGGAACTCACTATGTAGACCAGGCTGGCCTTGAACTCACAGAGATCCACCTGCCTCTACCTCCTGAGTGCTGGGATTAAAGGCATGCGCCACCACGCCTAGCAACCAGACTCCCTCTTGCCCCCTTTTTTCTATAAGTTACCCAAGATTCAAACAGTACACCACAATAAGACATTTTTTTTAAAAAAGTCTTGGGGGCTAGACAGATAACTCAGTGGTTAGTTGTTCTTCCAGAGGGCCTGGGTTTGATTCCCAGTACTCACAAGGCAGCTAACAACCATCCATAATGGTTCCACTGAATGGTGTCAGAACCTTCCAGTTCCAGAGGATCTGACACCCCCTTCTGGTCTCTGTGGACACTGCATGTATGTGGTACACTTATATACATGCAAGTTAACAGTCATACATAAAAAATAAAGATAATTAAAAGTAAAGTATTAAAAAAATTAAGTTTTTTCTTTCAAACCTTGTAAAACTTGGTTTATAACAAGAAATTCTAATCTTTTAATTCCACCACACCCTGGAGACTTTTAAGAAAGGGCCCTGATGCAGTCCCCATGGTCCCTGGGCAGTGGAACTCTTCCCCCTTCCTTTGTCAGGGCTCTTTTAAACAAGCCAGCTGGAAAAAGACAGAGATTGGACCCCAGCCAATGGAGAAAAGACAGTTTTCTTGCATTAGGGATAAAAACTTATCAAGTTTCTGGGTCCTGTGTGCTTGCTGGATCTGACTGACCACACAAAACAGTTTGCAAAAGTAAAATCTACCTTGGGGTGTTACTTTGGTTTTGTTCAAGTGTTCTTTGTGTGGTATTTGGGAGTGGAGGTCCTTGGACCTCAGAGTTTATTTCTAACACTTGTATTAAAAAAAATAAAAAAATAAAAAAAATAAACAAAAAGAAAACTGATAAAAAGTCACTTTAGTGGGCATGGTGGCGCACGCCCTTTGATCCAGAAGCAGGGGGAATCTCTGTGAGTTCAAGGCCAGCCTGGTCTACACAGTGAGTTCCAGGACAGCCCCCACTACAGGGAGACCCTGTCTCAAAAAAATTTTTAAAAGTCACTTTAAATATATACAAAGCTCAGAATAAGAGAAATGGTGAAATCCCAACAGAAAACCAGGCAAAAATAAAAACCAACAGCAAATATTTTAGATACTAATTACATATAAATTGATGTTCAATTGCACTTATTAGATTATCAAATAATCCAAGATATCAACATTAAAACCACTCATTTATAAAAATTAGTAAATTGAATTTTTTTAATAGGTAAGGTTAGGAAGGGTCCAATAAATACGCATGCTATTCTCATTGATAGAAGCCTACATCTGCACTTTTCTGAAAAGGAATTTGGTAGTACCTTTTAAAATAAAACATGTTTTCCCCTTGACTTCATTCTGTTGTTGTTCCAATAAAATTTTATTTATAAAAGTAGTGCACATTTGGAGAGACTGGTGGAGAGATAGTGCAGTGGTTAAGAACACTGACTGACAATTCTTGCAGAAGACCTGGGTTGGAATCCCAGCACCCGCATGGCAGCTAACAACTGTCCGTAAAACCATTTCCAGGGGATCCAACAGCCTCTTCTGTCCTCCACGGGCATTGCACAACACAGGTGCACTCACCTACATGCAGGCAATACACGCATACACATAAAATAAAACTAATAAAGTATTTTTTAAAAAGCAGTGCACGTGTGGCTTAAAGTACTCCGTGAGACTCAGAAGATAGCCTCGCTGCCAAAGGAGATGACAGGCCAATCTGATCCTCTGTGAGATGGAACTTCCTAGAGTCTAATGCTGACCTGAGGTTCTATGTGTTGGTAGAAGGAGGAACTATGTTTGGGAGTTTTTGACCAAGTGGAGAGTACAGAAGGCAGAGTACACAGGAAGGGGTAGGGTGCCGCTGCTGCTTTGGAAAAGGCTGAGCCATCCTAGGAAGCACCAATTCAGCAACTGCTCTAAATCAGGCTGATCCTCCTGCCCCCATATACAGAGTCCCCGGGCAGGCACTGTTATTCTGGGCCTCTAGGTTCTCCCAGGTAATGAAGTTTTTCATTGCCTCCTACAATTGTAGCATGTCTTGCTCTTTCAGCTGCACCCAAGCCTGCTCCTCTGCCTCCCTATCCTTCTGCTCCTGCACTTCTTGCCACAACCAAATTACCCCATAGCTCCTGTAAGTCGGTTCTCTGCTTGGTTCCAGGCCATCAGCTGCTGGTGTATCTGACCTCTATGCTGGCTCTAAATCAGCATGGCTTCATGGCTTTTTAACTTCTCCCCTCCATTCTCCTCCTCAAAGCAGCTGCTGAGATTTATGGCTTGCCTGCCCTGAGGAGGATTTTTCCTTAAAATTTAATAAAATTGTCCTAAAGCTTCTGTTTGAGTCCATTCTTAAACCCTTCTATGAATGTGACTAAGAACCGGGTTGGGGCGGGGCAATGACCCACACACCACAGGACACAACCCTATTTCTCCCCTGTATCAATACAACTAAAATTCCAAATGCAATTTAAAAGACAACCACAAAAGAACTCTGAAAGATAGAAAGAGGAAGGGAGGGGGGCTGGAGAGATGGCTCAGAGGTTAAGAACACAGGTTGTTTTTGCAGAAGACCCAGGTTCGAATCCCAGCATCAACATGGCAGCTTACAGCTGTCTATAACTCCATTCCCAGGAGATCCGACAGCATCTTCTATCCTCCATGGGCATTGCACGACACGGGTGCAGTTACCTACATGCAGGCATAACACTCATACACATAAAATAAAAAAATTAATAAAAATTTAAAAAAAGAAAGGAAGAAAAAAAGAGGAAGGAAGGAAGGAAGGAAGGAAGGAAGGAAGGAAGGAAGGAAGGAAGGAAGGCAGGCAGATTGCAATAAAGGTGCAATCTCACCTGGATTTCACACTTGTACTTTTGAGAGCTCACTATTCCAGACAAGAATAGTCAATGAAGGCCAATTGGGGGATCTTGGTACCTCATCCTACATCCAGTCCAGCAGGTATATCATATCACCTAAGCCACTCACATCAGAAGATATACTTGGCACCTCTTATTCCCTCTTATTCCTCCACTCTACAAAAGAGAGCTGCTCTCTATACAGCAGCAAAAGATAATACATGACTTATGTGTCCCAATTCCCTGCCTAAAGGCAACAGCTGGGTTAAGGAAAAAGCCCTCTATTTACACAGGCAATAGTAACCTGGGCTGTATGAGAACTCCACTGTCACCAGAGAACAGCCCACATAACAGGCATGGGAAAGTGCTCACAAACCCATGCATCAATTATCTATCACTCTATACTTAGCAACACTAGACCCAGATAGTGCTATCTATTTTAAAAGAAAAATTTTAAAGCATTAATTTAAATATATTATTTTAAAGGGTCTGGAGAGATGGCTCGGCAGTTAAGAACACTGCAAAGTGTTCTTGCAGAACAGTTAAGAACACTTTGCAGTTGCGCTTGCAGAAGACCCACATTTGGTTCTCAAAACCCACATGGCAACTCACAGCTGTCTGTAACTCCAGTTCAAGGGGATCCAATACCCTCTTCTGGCCTCCTTACGTACCAGGCACACACACAAATGGTGCACATACAGATATGCAGGCAAAACACTTATACACATTTTAAAAAGTGTGTGTGTGTGTGTGTGTGTGTGTGCGTGTGTGTGTGTGTAATTTTATAAAGAACTTTCAATAACCTGTAATTTTATAAAGAACTAATATCCAGTAAAACAAGAGTAGCAGACAGTCTGGGTACAACAGTATATATCTACAATCCCAGAATTTACAAGAATAAAGCAGAAGGATTAGGAATTAAAGACCAGCCTGGGAAATTTAGCAAGACTCTTAAAAAGTTTCAAAAGAAACCAGGCATGGTGGCTCATGCCTTTAATCCCAGCCTCAAGAGGCAGAGGCAGGCAGATCTCTGCAAGAGGCTACCCTGGTCTATATAGTGAGATCCATGCCAGCTGTGGCTACAAGGAGAGCTTGTCTCAAAAAAAAAAGTTTTGTTTTTTTTTTAATTGTCTAGGAATATATAGCTGTGTAGAAGAAAATGTGTCTAGCATGCATAAGAGCCTGGGATCAATCCTCAGCACCCCCAAAATGAGAGGCGAAATTATATAAACAGCACTATCTTAAATACTTGAGAGCACATAAAAGAAAATGGAAAGCAATACTGCAAATGCTACTAGTGATTGCCTTGCTGGTAGAAATTAACTTGTTCCATTTTTGTGTATTTTCCATTTTCACTAAAACACTTATCACTTTCTTAATATTTAGTTGGATGATTCAAACTATAACTAGTAATACAAACTGAAACTAGTAACACAAAGACAAGAGGGCTCAGAAATACAATTAATTCATAAAGGAATGGACTTGTCCTCATTGAGACATATAGTGGAAAAACCATTACACTTGTGCAAAGGAGAAAAGTGCTGAATTTACATACCTATGAATCTGCCCATTTTTATGCAGGTATTCCAATCCCTCTAAGACTTCTCGGAGTATTGTAGCAATGGTAGGTTCATCTAGGACTCCACTTTTATGTTCCCCCTTTGCCACAATATGTTTAATAATATCCAGAACAGAACCTGAAAACAGGAGAAACAACTCAATAAAAAAATTAACTCATTCCATTGTAGTTCAGATTTGTTCAGTTTGGAATTAAAACACATTAGAAACTTTTACATAAAATAAGTTATTTAAGAATGGAAAATGTAACAAAAATGAGGAATCACAGAGGCTTAAAGGTAATAATTTATTCTCAATTCCAACATAAAACAGAAAGTAGCCAGGCATGGTGGCGCACACCTTTAGTCCCAGCACTCAGAGGCAGAGGCAGGCTGGGGCTACAGGGAGACCCTGTCTCAAAAAGACCAAAAAAAACAGAAAGCAGTCTGGTAATTAATACCCAAGTGGTATATTGCACCAGCATCTCCTTTAAAGCTCTACTGGGAATTTGGAAGGATTAGTGAAGAATTTTTAATCACTTCTGAAAAATCCCTGGGTAAACCACACCACTCAATAACTAATATATCACAAACTAAAACAGCTTCCAACACCAGATTAGACTATGCAACATTTTATGAGTAAGTACATAAAAATACAACTGAAATGCAGGTCAACTCATGGAAGAAACATATGAAGAATAAAATTCACATTTGTATATAAGCTAACTTAAGGGCTAAAATTTGTAACATAATAATTACAAAAATAAAAAAGTTCAGGAAAGAAAAATGTGGAGAAAATAACAGCTGCAGTTCTCCCTGAGTAACACCCCGATGCCTTATCAATCTGATTCTTCCCAAGATGTAGAAAATGATGCTCCTACTTAAAAAACCAGAGAAGCAGGAGGAAAAGACTCCTACACAGTAATTAAAACCACAAAATGCTGACAATCAAAATTGGCAATTATACTCAAAAAAAGTTTGGAAGAGGCTCAAGATTTCTGGTACTATACTGGTCTACATAGATCACAGAATCAGGACCAGGAGTGATGGTACACACCTTTAATCCCAGCAGTCAGGAGGCAAAGGTAGGCAGATCTCTGTGAGATGGAGGCCAGCCTGGCCTGCATAGCAGGTTCTAGGCCAGCTAGGACTACAGGGAGGCCCTGTTTCAAACGAACAAACAACAACAACAAAAATGAAAAAAGAAAAAAAAAAAACAACAACAAAGTTCACAAAATAAAAATCATCTCATCTCCAATATTAGAAACAGGACCAAGGAGTCCCAAATATAACAGACTATATAATGCAAAGATTCTGTACCCATTTCTTGATGTGATACCTAAACGACAAGACTAAAATCAAAACCAGTTTATGAGCAGGCAAGATGGCTCTGTGAGTAAAAGGCACTTTGCTAAGCAAGCCTGGTGACCTGAGCCACAAACAGGATCCATGTACAGGTAGAAAGAGAGAACTGACTCCACTGGCCATCACACAAACACAATAAGGATACACACATCACACACACACACACACACACACACACACACATCACGTCGCACACATCACATCACACACACATACATACATACATACATACACACAATCTAAAAAATGTTTTAGTTGAAAAACAATCTCATTGAAAAGTTACTACATACTTTAAACTTTTTTATTTATGTATATGTGTTTTGCCTACATGTATGGAAGTGCACTGTATCATGCAATTCCCACAAAGACCAGAAGAGGATGCAAGATCCCCTGTGGAGTTACAGACAGTTGTTAGCCACTACATTGAGTGCTAGGAACCAGGCCTCTGCAAGAACAGTTGGTGCTCTTAACTGCTAAGCCATCTCTCTAGCCCCTCTACTGCATACTTTCACTTCTCCTACTTGCAAAGAAAAGGTATAACTCTAAACACATGGAAAGTAGTAGTCTAAGAGGCTAGAGGTATAGCTCAATGGTAGGGTGTCCTGAGTTTAATTTCCAGAACCAAAAAGAAAAAAAGAGAAAATCCACAGAATATGGAACATAAGTTTATTTTAGCTCCCACTTAAAATCTAATGAGTTAAGTTAGGTATGGTGGCCCATGTCTATTATCTCAGAACTTGGGAGGTAGAGACAGGAGGACCTGGAGCTGAAGATCATCTTCAGCTACACAAGCCAGCTTCAACTCATGAGTCCTAGTCTCAAACCATCCCTCTCAAAAAGAATGACTTCATAAGCTTGATTTTAAAAAAGAAAGAATAAGAGAGAGATGAAGGGAAGGAGGGAGGGAGGGAGGGAGAGAGGGAGGGAGGGAGGAAGGGAGGAAGGGAGAAAGGGAGAGAGGGAGAGAGGGAGGGAGGGAGGGAGAAGAAAGGATGATTTTTTTCTTTTTTTGAAAAAAATAAAAGCCAGAATGAAAACAGAACGAGAGATAGATTAGAGGCAGAGCCAATCACGTTCTGGGAAAGCAAGAAGAACAGAGAAATGTGAACTTCGCTGCCCATAGAGGAGATGCAGAAAAAGTGATCCCAGCACTTGGGAAAGCAGAGACAGGCGGATCTCTGTGAGTTCAAAACCAGCCTGGTCTACACAGCAAGTTCCAGGTCAGTCAGAGCTACCTAGTGAGAAACTGTCATAATAAAAATAAATGCCAGGCGTGGTGGCCCACACCTTTAATCCCAGCACTCGGGAAGCAGAGGCAGGTGGATCTCTGTGAGTTCAAGGCCAGCATGGTCTACATAGTGAGTTCCAGGACAGCTAGGGCTACAGGGAGACCCTGTCTCAAAAAGACCAAAAAAATAATAATAAATAAATAAATAAACAAACAAACAAAGAGGCAGAGGCAGGCAGATCTCTGTGAGTTCAAGGCCAGCCTGGCCTACATAGAGTTCCAGGACAGCTGGGGATCTAGGGAGACCCTGTCTCAAAAAGACCAAAAATAAACAAACGAACAAAAACAGAAAAACTGTGATCCCTACCTGGAACTCCAACAAGTCTCAGAACTACATGTAAGTACCATATAACGAAAAGGGAGAGGAGAGAGAAGTGGTGGCTGAAAACACTAAAAATGGGTGAGAGTCAGATTCCCTTATCTTTCCTCCCCTCTGGAAGCCAGTCCATGAAGTGTCTACCTTCTAGTAGGAGTTGGGAAGTTTATTCTCTCTGATAGATAACCCAAAAAGGTTGTAAATTCCACGCATTAGTTCTTAGCACATTTGTGCTGGACAGCTTCAGTTGTCAACTTGACACACCTGAGTAAAGAGAATCTCAACTAAGGAACTGTGCCCTTTGGATTGACTTGTAGCCATGTCTGTGGGACGTTTCCTTGAATGCTGAGTGAGGTGCGAGGGCCCAGCCCACTGTGGGCAGTGGTCCTGTCCTGTATGAGAAAGGAGGCTGAGCACAAGCCAGGGGAGCAAGCCAGTAAGCAGTTACCCTCCATGGTCTGTGCTCCAGGTTCCTGCCCTGAGTTCCTGACTTGGCTTCCCTTGAGGATGAACTGTGCTGTAACTCAAATAAACTCTTTCCTCCCCAAGTTGGTTGTGAACAGTGTTTTAATCACAGCAACTGAAATCAAACTAATACAATATTATTATGAGTCTTTTCCCTTTCTCAGTACTGGAATTTACAAATTTATAATCCATAAGAGCCTAAGGTAGAAGTTTGGATTTGCTGAGTTGAATCAATCTCACATTAAACCCTAAAGCAAAGTGATTATAGCAATAAGATACGTTTCATTCTTCTGAAAACTGCAAGCCATAAAAACTATTTCAGGGAGCTGGAGAGATGGCTCAGCGGTTAAGAACACTGGTTGTTCTTGCAGAAGACCCAGGTTCAAATCCCAGCACCTACATGGCAGCTAACAACTGTCCGTAACTCCAGTCCCAGGGGATCCGACAGCCTCCTCTGACCTCCGCGGGCATCGCACGCCATGGGTGCACTTACCTATACTCGCTACGCAGAACAGACTGGTCTTGAACTCACAAAGATCCACTTGCCTCTGCCTCCTGAGTGCAGGGGACTAAAGGCAAGCACCACCATGCCCAGGGGAAGATGAAATCTTAATTGAGGAATTTCCTCCATCAGATTGGCCTGTGGGCATGTCTGTGGGCCTTTTACTTGAATGCTAATTGATGTGGGAGGGCCCAGCCCACTTTGGGCAGTACCATCCCTGGGCAGGCGGGCCTGGACGAGCAAGCCAGAAGGAACAATCAGTAAGTAGCATTCCTCCATGGTCTCTGTTTCAGTTCCTGTCCTGACTTCCCTTACACATTTAAGTGTAAGATGAAATAAACCCTTTCCTCTCATTTAAAAAAAAAAAAAAAAAAAAACATGCTAAGCAAAAGGAGACTACAGATTATCACTGGGTGACCCAATTAACAACTAAGAACAGTAGGAATACCAGGAAGGGTTGTAAGAGTGTGTATAGCAGCATATCCTCAAGCACAATCTAGAAGAAATGGTCTATACGGATAATCAGTAATCAGTTTCTGAATTTTAACATGCAAGCTAGTAAAAAATGTGGACTCCTAGACGCTACAACCTGTTATTACAGAAATTTTACCCCAAGAAATTGCATTTTAATTATTTTTATTTTATGTGTATTCGTGTATTTCCTGCATGTAGGTAAGTGCACCCGTGTCATGCAATGCCCACGGAGGTCAGAAGAGGCTATCAGATCCCTGGGACTGGAGTTACGGACAGTTGTTAGCTGCCTTGTGGGTGCTGGGATTCAAATTCGGGTCCTCCACAAGAACAACCAATGTTCTTAACCGCTGAGCCATCGCTCCAGCCCCAGAAATTACATTTTAAAAGACATTTTAATCACCTGCCATACTTTAATAAAAGCCGTCATTAAAATCCAAACAGGAGCTGAAGAGCTCGCTCAGCAGTTAAGAGCAATGGCTGCCCATGCAGAGGACCCAGGTTCAATTCCCAGCACCCACGTGGCAGCTAAAAACTGTCCCTAACTTCAGTCCCAGGGAATCCGACACCCTCTGTGACCTCTGAGGGTACTGCACAACACAGGTGCACTTTCATACATGCAGGTCATACACTTACATGTGTAAAATAAAATAACAATAAAGTAAAATATAAAATTCAAGCACTTCAGACTGGGATGCAGCTCAGCTGGCAGAGTGCTTGCCTAGTAGGTTCCA